CAGAGAACTACCAGAAGTCCAGGCTGGTTTCAGAAGGGGTCGTGGTACTAGAGATATTGTAGCTGATGTTAAATGGATCTTGACTGAAAGCAGGGAATACCAGAGGAATGTCTATCTGTGTTTCTATGTATCTGAGACATGGATAATGAACAAGGATGGCAGAAAAAGAATTGACACCTTTGGGATGTGGTGTTGGAGAAAAGAACTGAACAAACCATGGATGGCCAAGAGAATAAACAGACATCTCTTCGAAATGGTGCAACCAGAATGCTCTTTAGAGGCAAGAATGATGAAGCTTTGCCTCACATAACTTTGGACGTGTTGGGAAGGGTTGAGGGTCGGTGAAAGACAGGAAGATCCTCAACAAGGTAGATTGATATGGTCACTCCTGCAATGAGCTCTTATGTGTCAGGAAGGTGAGGATGGTGCGGGATATAATAGGGTTCAAATCTTTTATTTATAGGGTCACTATGAGTCATGCTCAACTCCATGGCACCTTAAAACAACAACAATCAGCAATGGAGGAGATACACACCAATCAAAATAGTTGCTGATGATGTTAGGTGCCTTCAAGTTGTGTTTGACTCATAGCGACTTTTTGAACAGCAGATCTGAACCCTGTCTGATTCTCCCTCATACTGTATCATCTCCAATGCACATTAGCCCATTGCCACAGTTATCATATCAGTCCATCTTGTTAAGACTCTTCTTCTCTTTCTTTGATTCAAAACACACTGCCATCCCAGAGGCAGAATGTTCAACCCCACCAGCTGCTCCAAGGGAGAAATTTGGGCAGTCTTCTTCCATGAAATTAAACTGTCCCTGAAAATCCACTAGAGAGTCAGCAATGACACAATGGGAACAACCATCACCTTTCCAAGCATGGTGTTCCTTTCCAAAAAATGGCATCACCCAAGAATATGCCAGAATGAGTAAGATGAAGCCTCACCATTCTTGCCTCTAAGAAGCACTCTGGATGCAGTCTCCAAGACATATTTGTTTGTTCTTTTGGCAGTCCATAGGATATTGAGCACACTCCTCAAATATCACAGTTCAAAGCCATCAATATTTCTGTCATCTTTATTCTTTGTGCAGTACTCAGATGCATAGTGGGTGATTGGAAAGACCATGACTTGAATCAGGTGCATCTTAGTCTTTAAACTGACATCATTGGTAAATTTGCTACTGTGATAAGTGTGGCATTGGAATGGAAAGACCAGATTGGGAGGAAAGAAACCTAAACCACAGTTTAGAAATAATAATGAGAGGACTTGTTTGTTGAAGTACACCGATACAAATGTTTCCTGCTTTAAAGAATATTCAAACCGATTGGAAGAAATAACTTACATGATATGCCATCAATGGAGATATATTAAGTGGCAAATTTTGTTGCACATGAAAACTGCCTGTTACTAAGAGATGAGATCGATGTTTTATAAATTGTAAAATTTTGCTGTTTATTGTCACCATTCAATTAGGTTAGTGGTACTTCTGCTGAAGAGCTACAGTTTTACTCCGGGTCTCACTTTGAATTTTGATTTTTTTTATACAGATGTTGCAAGAGCAATTGAATTACTGGAAAAACTACAGGAGTCTGGAGAAGTACCAGTGCACAAGCTACAATCTCTCAAAAAAGTGCTGCAGAGTGAGTTTTGTACTGCTATTCGAGAGGTATGACACTAAGATTTTAATAACTATGTTCAGCCATATGTCTTCTGAATTGAAAACATGTTTCTTTCCACACAAACAGTTGACATAGTTAAGATTAGAGCTACATTTTAACTTTCTATTTTTAGCTCCTTAGACAGATGATAAAATATGATTTATTCTGCTAAATTCTTAAATTAGATCCAGTCAGGATTTATGGTAGCAATACAGTGATTGCTTTAGCAGCTGACTGTGGTGCCTAATGCAAACAATTTGATGGTCAAATGTAGTCACCTGGAAATTTAGGTAGAAATAGTGACAATTAAAAATTCTATGAACTAAAAACAAAACAAAACAAAACAAAAAAAATTCTATGAACTTTGATAAATGTCGATAGTTCTAGAGGGGCTTCAGGCTTTTTGTTCATAGGGTAGCTATGAGTAGTGCTCGATTTAAAGGCAATCAATAACAACGTGTCACAAGCTTTATTTAGAAAAAAATCTCAACTAAATGCCTCACAGATAAGTCTGAAGGTTTATCTGTAAATGACTTAATTGACAGTTAACTACTGGCCAAATCTATAATTACTGAACTATTACTATTTTGGGCAATAATGAAAAAGCTATGGATCAGCTCATATTAACCTCAAAAACAATCTTAGTAATGCTTTCCTGGATAAAGGTTTCAAGAATCTCCAATTGAAACCAGTGTATTAGAATGATTTTTTGAATTTGGTATTGGCTTATGTTAGAATGAATCAACTTGATTGCAGTGGGTTTTTAGTGTTTGTGGTGAAATACTGTATTCAGCTAATGAATTAAATTAGTAACAAGAGTTCACTTTAGATATTTATGTTTTATTGTCTAAATCAATAAGTTTGCCACCATCTCCCTATCAATTACAAAGTAGTCATTCACTATAGAGTCCATAAATATAGCATATATGATTTTATAGTTGCTCTGGAAATTATTTCTCCACTGCCAGGCTGTCTAAAGCTAGTTTGTCTCAATGACTGCCTGGAGAGTTTGTTCTTGCAGAGGACATACAGGATTCATGAAACACTTAAATCAAAACAACACTCCTTTCTTTTTGCAACTCAACGCATATTCATATGACTCATGCAACCCCATGAATACAGAGCAGAACTGAATTCTATAGTTTTGTGTTTTATTTTGTTTGCAAGTCTTTAGTCTTTGTATTTTTCTTTTCAAATTTTGTTTTTTTGGTTTACATCCAACCATTCATACATATTGTTTCATTTATGTATATTATGCTTTATACAATCCCTCAAAGACACTGTTTTATATTATTAACTATATTGATCATATCTTTTATCACCCTGTCTCATCATGTCCCCATTGCACTCTACTATTCTTTCACCTCTCTATCTGCTATCCAAGTGATTTTCCCCTTCCTTTCTCTCATTTTCTCCTTCCCTCTTCCTTTTTAAACAATTACATGTATCTTGTACCCATTTCCTAATTGCAATAACAGTATTGTCCGTATGTTGATTCTTCACAAGTTGATCTTCCGTTGCCATGATCCTTTATTTATTGTTTGCATATTCCATATTGCTTTTGTCGTTCTTACCTCTCTCCACTAGTGATCTGAGACTAGTTGTCTTAAACAGTATTTATCCTTTTGTGATTGAGTTATTTCTCTCAGTATAACGTTCTGTAGACTCTCCTAGGATATATAGCATTTTATGATACTTTGTAGTTCTTTTATGCTGTGTAGTATTCCACTGTATGAATGTACCATAGTTTTAGAGCTATGGAATATTTTATATTTATATTTAGGTTTAGGTTTCTATTTCTATTTCCATTTCCAAATCTATTTCTATTTCTATTTATATATTTATTTAGAGTTCTGTAATCTATTATCTTTATTACTCTCTACTGATTGACAAGAGGTAGGAACGATACATCTTTAAGAGAGAAGTTTTTCCTGAGAGTGAACTAAAAAATTATAAAGCCCTAGTTGTAAGAAACTGGTGGTGGTGGGGGACCCAAAATAGCAACTCAGCAATCCCAAAACAAAGATAAAAGACCCAAGGAAAAATATACAAGAAACAATTTATCCACAACAAAAGGGAGATATAAACAGGGAAAAAGGAAATGCAAAGATTTAGAAAAGAAAAATCTTTCCTTTGGTGCTTTACAATTTTGAAAGAAAACAACAAATAAATTTATTAATTAATTAATAACAAGATAATTGACCAATAAAAACATGTAATGATTATGACATCTACATGTACAAAGGCTGTGACACTTCAGAACACAACATGCTGTTTTATTCCAGGACACATAGAAATGGTGTGATCCACTGCATTTTTGATGAGTAGTCAAATGCTTAACTGTTCGTGCCATTCGAGAATTCTTTTTGCAACTGTGTTGTTGTTATGTGCAAACAAGTCAAGTACTCTGCATAGTGACCCAATGAATAACAGATCTAAATCCTGTCCTATCCTGCATCATCCTTATTTCTGACTTATCAATTTATTATTTTATCGGTCATGGGATTTTCAATAGTTATCCAACACAACAACTCAAAGACATTGATGCTTCTTCCATAATAGTTATTCAGTGGTCAGCTCTCAAATTCATAGAAAGTGATTGAGAAGACCATGGCCTGGATCAGGCACACTTTAGTCTTCAAACTGACATTGTTGCTCCTCAGTATTTTGAAGAGGTCCCTGACAGCAAACCTGCCCAATACAATACATTGTTTGATTTTTGCCCATGCCATGGGGACTTACTGTGAGTCTAAGTAATATAAAGTGGTTGAAAATATCTGTCTTTTCTCCATGAGGTTGCTTATTGGCCAGCGGTGGAGATTATTTTGTCTTCTTGATATTGAAATGTTGTTCATATTGAAAACTATAGTCCTTGATCATACTGGCTTATAGTGACCCTGTGTACAACATAGTTAGGATAGAGTTGCACAACAGCTCTATGTTGTACATGAGGTCTCTAGTGACTCCATGGCATGTAACAACAGCAAGCTCTTCAAGTCTTCAGAATTTTTAATAAGCAAGGTTGGGTCATCTGAATAATGCAGATTGTTGAAGAGTCTTTCTCCATTCCTGAGTCTACATTTTTCTTTAGAGTTCAGCTGCTCTAATGATTTGCTTAGAATACATATTAAATAGGTATGGAGAAAAAAATACAACCTTGACCGATATCCTTCCTAATTTTAAGTCATTCAGTGTTTCCTTGCCTTTTTCAGATATAAGCTACTTGGTCTGGTTATAGGTTTCTCATGACTATAGTTAAGCATTCTAGGATTCCCATTCTTCTCAATGTTAACCATGCTTTGTAAGATCCATACAGTCAAATGCTTTATCATAGTCAATAAAAATACCTTTGTATAGTCAATAAAACATAAATAGACATTCTCATATTCTCTGCTTTCTGCCAACCTGCTTCTGACATCAGGAGTGATACTTCTGGTTCCAGTGCTTCTTCTAAACCCAGTTTGCACTTCTGAAAGTTCTCTGTCAATGCACTGTTCTAGCTATTTCAGGGTGATATTCTGCTTACATGTGATATTAACGTTATTGTTTGATAATTTCTGTTGTATCACCTTTCTTGGTGATGATAATAGATATGAATTTCTTCAAGTCAGTTGGCTAGGAAGCTGTCTTCCAAATTTCTTAACACATACTGTTGATCAAGTTCAGGGCTGCATCTGTCTGTTAATTGAAACATGTCAGTTGTATCCTGTTGATTCCTGGGGCATTTACATCCCCATCCCAATGCTTTCAGTGCAGCTTGAACTTCTTCCTTTATTACCGTTAGCTCTTGATCATATGTAACTTCTTGAAATATTTCAGTGACAACCATTTCTTTTTGGTGGCCTAGTGGCAAGAAGCTGCACTGTAATCCCAAAGGCACGCAGTTCAAGGCCAGGATAGGCAATTTCCTCCCATGTGATTAAGTGCTTCTGAAAACCCACTGGAGGGTCAGCTATGGGTCGGTTCCCACTAGGCAATACACATGTGCTGTTGAATCCCCTGTGACTCATAGTAACCCTATATACAACAGCTCTGAAGACTGACCTGTCCTGAGGCAGTCTCACTGACTCCTACACACCTATCTCCATTGCTTCAGTTACTGTATCAATCTCTCTCACCTGGGGTCTTCCTTTCTTGTACTGTCCCTCCACCCTTCCCAGCATGATGTCTTCCTTGCCACATGCCAAAAGTATGTGAAATGGAGCTTCAAAATTCTATCCTCCTAGGAGGAACTTGATTTTACCCTCTCCAAGACATACTTGTTTTCTTGGCAGTCCATGTTATATTCAAGACCCTTCTTTAGCACCACAATTAAAAGGTACTTATTCTTCTTCGGTCATCGTTAGTCATCGTCAAACTCTCTGACACATACCAAGAAATTATAATAAACACGGCCTGAATCAGGCACAATTGTCCCTAGACCTACATTGTTGCTTCTCCTAACTCTAATTATGGCTAATAAATATAATTTTATTATTTTACCCCAATAAGGCTAATTTTATGTAGATACTATGTAGGAAAGCATTAGAAGCATTGCCATTGTCAAATGGATCTTGGAAGTATGGAAAAAATACCAGAGGAATATCTATCTGTGTTTCACTGGCTATGCAAAGGCATTTGACTGTGTGGCCCACAACAAACTGTGGCTGACTTAGAGAAGAAAGGGAATCCCAGAAAACTTGATTGTGCTTATGCGAAACCTATTCTTGGACTAGGAAGCAGTCTTCAGAACAGAGCAAGAAAACATTACATGGTTCAAAATCAGGAACAGAGTGTGTTAGGGATGTGTCCTGCCTCCATATCTTTTCAATCTATATACAGAATAGCTCATATGGGAGACTGGACTTTATAAGGAAGAATGTGGCATCAGGATTGGAGAGCAAAGTCATCAGCAAACTATGTCCTGCAGATAGTACAGCCTTCCATGCTGAAAGTGAGGAGAACCTGAAGTGCTTGCTGAAGAAGGTTGAGGACTGTACTCTTCACTATGAATTGAAGCTCAACATCA